TCAATAAAATAACCTGATCAAGCAGATCACTGTCAAGATCCCTGATCACTGTCTTAAAGCAGACCCAACTCATGACTCTCAGACCTGCTGATGGAGCCTGACTGAGTTGTTCAGATCGCTTCCATCATCACGAAGCGGGCCACAGACTGATGTAGCAGCTGATCCTGGATCAGCAGAACTACAGGATCCAGGTCCTGCCCCGGGTCCCCTCAGTCAAGCTGAATGGCGAGTTCCTCAGCAGCAGGAAACAGGCCACTCGTCCTCCGGTGAGGCTGTAAAACTGTCAGAGCTGTGTACTGCACTGGACTGCAGAGAACAAATACAACATGTCAGTGAATGTTCATCGTCAGGGCCTGTGTGACCAGTTCTCTTCTTTCAGCAGCCTGACCTGGTGGCTGATAGTTTAATTTTTGTTGGCTCCCCTAATTAAGAAATGATGGTCGGTTCCATCCACGCTCTGATGAAATGAAAGTCTGTAGCTGTGCTTACAGCACCACATGAACTACATGTAGTTTCTCTTTGGTCTCCATGCTCTGGTTTATTTTCTCCAGTGTCAGACAGCAACTCTGTCTTTCTTCATGGAAAATGTCCTCCACAAATTAGCTCTGCAAACATCATTTCCAAAATGCACAAATTGAATAATTCAGCTGAGTTAGCTGAACAAACACACCCTCTGAGGCTTGTAAATGGGATTAACGAGCTGCACTTACCTGTCTGTTGACGTTGGCGTATTTGAACCAACATCCGGCGGTGATTAACTCCTGACAGCACAGACACTGACAGAGCTGAAGTCCCTCAAGCAGCAGTTTTTGGAGTGGGAGTGAGCATCCCACACACCTGAACACCACCACCAGGGCTTCCAGGCCACCAACGAAGAAGAAGCGTCAGAGACTGCACAGAGCAAACACAACCACCTCAGTAACTAGAAATGACTAAAGCTAATGCCTCCCACTCATTTCAAAGTGGAGCTGGACCTGTCTCACTTTTCTGAACAGTGACTCTTGTGTCACACTACAATGACTGATGGGAAAGGTGGTGATTGTCGGGGGAGCAGCTGCTGGATCTGAGGGGGGGGGGGGGGGGGGGGGGGGTTTGTCTTACGTTTAACATCACGGAGGGCAGTGCAATCACTAACTCACCTCAGTGCTGCTTTGAGTTTCACCTGGTCCTTTAGTACAGGTGCAGTACCGGCTCCCAGCCACCAGGCACCACTGTTCCCACTGAATACAAACCAGCTTTTTTTCTGGGTTCACTTCTTCAGAAGAGTGTTTCCTGATTCAAAGTACAAAAACTCTGTGTTCTGGGCACCATACATAACAACACCCTGCCTGTGTGTGCCTCCAGCCCCGTGTAACACTGGCCTATGCCTCGTTATGGTGATCCCCTCTAAAAGCTGTTAAGGCTTTGTTGATCTTTGTGATTACATGTCATTTTGGCAGGTCCCAAGACTCATGGGAGGTTCTGAGAAACATTAATGTGAGGGTGAGTGTTTGGCTGGCGCGGACGGAGCTTTTAGCACATTCCTCTGCAGCAGAACGTCAACGTGGTCTGGGTTTGATCCTGCTTTGTCCACGCTTCGCACCCCTCCTACACAAAACTGGGCAAACTTAGAGGCCGTCAATCAAACGGGCTAAGTCTGAGTCAGCAGGTTGTGGACTGTGCCATGCTGCTGATAGCTGAGCTGGCTGTTACTGTTCTCCCTCTCCACACTGAAGAAAGGTACTTCTGTGTTTAAACAAGCTCTGTCTTTTTTCTCTGCAAGAAAACCATTTGGGTAAATCCGGACCTCTGCTGGGAGAGATGTCCCACCCACAGCCACAGGGGGACCAAGATATGATGAGCTTACTGATGGTTGATGTGACAGCCCATGTTATAGGAAAGCTATGACACATAAGCCTCAGTGTGACAGTTGTAGAAAGAAATTCTTGACAAAAGAATATAGTGCTATGTTATGTATTTGCAAAACAGCTTAAAAGATTGTTTAATCTGCTTGACCTTTGTAATGGTTTGACCTGTGCACTTGAAATGCTGTGTGTGAGTATGTGTCTAAGTGCAGAGACTCAGATCACAGGTGTACCCACTCACACTGATTAGTTCTCCACCGTAAACTCATGTTCGATCCCTGACCTGGCTGTGGCTGTGACACTCAGATGAGTTGTGTCACGTTTGTCGTCCGGACTTACGGTGACATCCCCCACGGCGCTTAACTCACCTGCTTCACCTCACCTGGCAGCCTGTCTGTGGCCCACTGTGTCTCCTGAAGATTCATTACTCGAGGCCTCACTTGACTCGATTCGCCAGTGACACCTACCGCTGTAAGTAGCAAGGCGCAGACAAGTCCTGCTCCATCAGGCCGCTGACGTTCATGTACGTAGTGGTGGAAGAAGTACTCAGGTTCACCTAAGTTAAAGTAACAAAGCCACAAAAATACTCCAAGTCCTGCATTCAGATGGTTATTGAAGTGAAAGTACAGAGGTATTAGGATAAAATGTACTAAAGGTTCATGTTAAGGTATCACATTACTGTGTACATCATAGTAATATATACAGTTGGTAAAAGTATAGCCTTGATTGTACTTTACATACTACTTTTTAGCTTGTGAATTTTCCATCAGGGATCAATGTCTTCAGATGATTTTGTTTAATTAATCTCAGTCTGAAAACTAGTAACTAAAGTTATCAAATGTAGTAAAAAATGTACATTTTTCTTTAAGTTGAACTATGAAGTAGTAGAAGATGAAGCTACTTAAAAAGTATAAATACCTCAAATGTGTACAAGTGGAGTACTTGGTTACAGAGCTGCTGTTGTCAAGCATCTACCTCTAATACCGGACAGTTCAACGACAGGTTTGGTGAAAATGTCCTGATAATGGTGCTTTACCGGAGTATGAGATGCAGATGGCGGCTGCTGCCCAGAGTGCATCGCTGCTCTTCCTGTACGCTGCTGCCATGTCTGTGTTGACAGGACGGGAGGCGTCAGACTGCTTCTGCCTCTGCCACAGTGACTGGTGTCCGGCTGCCACGGTTCCTCTGTGGAAGTTACAGCTCAGGCCTGAGTTCTAGTTTTCCACCATTACAAAGTGAACAGAGCTCTCTGGGGGGGGTTTTTTCAGCTTAAGTATCATTTATTTAGTCTCTGTCCTGTTAACAAAGGCATGTCTGTTTCAGTTTTATAGGCCAGAGCTGCTGTTAGTGCCTTGGACAAATAGTTAACAGATAAAAGGAACTGAGCCTTGGAGGCACATGGATCAGACAGTATAGAACAGTTCTCAAATCCTGTCTCTGTAGTAGTATTACTACATCTTTATGTGCACTCAGTGGTTTATCTGTGGAGTAGTGATGAAGGAAACTATTTTTATTGAACAGTTTTCTCCCAAAAGGCCAAGCTCTCAATTTACTGGTCAGCCTATGCTCCAACCCTCACCTATGGTCACGAGCTGTGGGCCGTGACTGAGAGATGATGTCTCATCTGGCCCGGGAATGCTGGGGAGAGGGACGTCTGGGCTACCTTATTGAACCTGCTGCTACCGTGACCCGACCCCGGATAAGTGTATGATAATGGATGGATGGAACAATGAGGAACAGGTGAGGCAGGCAAGTGACTCAAATCAAACTATGGAGCAACATTTAAAAGATGCTAACTCATGCACAAGTATGACTGACGTGTTAGCTATGCCCATTAAAGTGACGTGATTCCTCCCTGCCAGCTACTCGGCCTTGGCAGGTCAGTCTCTCCACGGCCCGGATCCAGTCATCCAGTCTTCAGCTGGATATTGAGGCATGAACCATGACAGGACTGAGTACAATCCCTCTGACACTTTAATAACAGGACAAATCCATAGCGCTCAGACCTGGTAAACATTTGTTTTCCATAATGATCATACATGTGTGTGTACAAGATAAAGCTGCTGTTGCCCAGAATCGCTGCTGTGTGTTCACAGGATGCACCATCTGTTTCTTCTGTCCTATTAACTTGTCTCAATTGGGCCAAACAAACCTTTGTTTCACAGCTGTCCTATGCAGGGAGCAGAGGCTGACAAGGGTGCTGCAGTAGACATGCACTCTCAACACCACTTTGGTTTGTGACATGATCTCAGGCCTGTCACCTGCAGCACCCTCGTCCGGGCTGCTGGGTCGACATGTTCCAGTTCAGCCAGGAAGGACCCGGTCTGCCTTCAGCTGACAGAGGGGCCTTAAACAACTTGGCCTTACTATGCAGGAAATGAGAAGCAGTGTCTGTGAGTGAGGCAGGAGCAGGGCTGAAGTGCTGTGAATATGTATACACAGCCCCCAGACCCCTGTCAATTAACCAGGTGTGGGTGGTCCTAATGTTAAACCTTCAAAGGGCAAAGTTCAATTTGCATTTAAACACTGATCGTGCCTCTTGCTTCACTAATGAAGGGATAAATTTAATGTGACACTTGCTTGCAAACTTTGCTAAGCTAATTAAAGATAATTTTTATTGTGGCGTTCATAGCAGCTTGCTCCTACAAGGGAGCCATGTGTGGTTGTTAACTCATCAATAAACAGCTACAGTTTGGTTAAATTCTGGCAGTGAAAGGCAAACTTAAGATTCTCCCTATTAGGCTTCGTAACATGTTTCTGCTGTTGCTGCAGGAATCAGGCTGCCTGTGGCAGCTGTGTTCAGGCCACAGTCTGAGATGTTCTGCAGGGTTGCTGGCTTTTCTACTGTGCTGACATGACAATATGACACAAATGCATTTAGTGCTGTGGTTTATTTTGGGTCTGAGCTGTTGTGAGATGCGTAGTTTCATATTGCTCCATGAGTTCAAACAAAGCACTTGTTGATGGTGTCATTATGTTCATTTTTTTCAGTGATTGTCATTAATAAACTTGAACTAAAATGTTCGAATAACTTCTCC